AATATCGTATTGCCAAAACAAAACAGATTGTTAGTTGTCTCTGTGACTAGTTTTTGTATCATCTTGCACTCAGTGAGAGAGAAAAAAAAATTTAAGCTCTGGTGAGTGGATCAAGCAAAAAATACTTGAAATTCAAACTACATATAATCGATACAGGATAAAAAGTTGAGATCTGAAAGTTTTGCTTGAACTTTTACAGCTTTGGTTCTTTATTGACGCTTCAAAAACGTAATATTTTGCCGATTTGAGACATTTTAGGGCTTTCCAACTCGAGACATTCCAGGGTAGTAAATAAAAATTATGAAATAAAAGGCAGGTAAACTTATAAATTTAGTGCCTACTTTACGCCCGCCGATGGACATCCATAATATTTCATTAAGATGAAAAGAAAAATCTTCAAACATGCACAATGATACAGATTTTTTAGATATATGCAATTTTTCATGAAATTGGATAAAATGTGCAAAAAATTCATAGATATGCACTTTGCTTATTTTCCGCCCTCTAGTGATGATTTCAGCCCTTCCGTGTTACACCATTGTTCGGTGGTGTTTAGCGCCTGCTGCATCAGTGATGACACAGCGTCTCCAAAGTTTCCCTGCGCAACAATGGAGATATCATCCGCATATCCCAGTGCATAGAATCCCCTCCCCTCGAGAGACAACAGGAGCCGGTCCACCACCAGGCTCCACAGCAGAGGCGACAAAACTCCTTCCTGCAGACACCCGTCGGCAACCCGCGCATCCACGCTGACTTGATTGAGTGCGACGGTAACAGTTCCGCACTTCAGCATGTTTGGGATCCATTTAGATATTGAAGGCTCCACTCCGCGATCTTTCACCGCTTTGACAATTGTCTGAAAAGAGGTATTGTCAAAGGCTCCCTCTATGTCCAGAAAAGCCGCCAGAGCAATTTGTTTGCGCCCTAGTGAGGTCTCTGCCCTCTGCACCATTTCATGGATAGCACATTTGCATGATTTTCCCGGTTGGTAGGCAGATTGGTTGTGGTGTAGAGGATTTCTGGTGAAAATGTCTTCCCTGATATGCCTGTCCATCAGCTTCTCTAGTGTATTAAGTAAGAAAGATGTTAGGATGATTGGGCGAAAGGATTTGGCCTGGGCATACGGAACTATTCTATGAACTAGTTCCTGGACTATTCCCAGTATTGATTCAGAAAAGTGAGTCTTAAGCATAAGCTGCAGGATCTCCTCTTCTGTTGTTGTATATCCTATAATAACGCAACAACTCTCTCCTCCACAGCCTCCAAGCGTTTATCGGACTTGATCAGAAGACCGTACGACCTGTACAGGGCCGGTGTTTTGGATGAGTACATTATGGGCCTGATGAACCAAGTGGCACAAGCTATGGACGACTCAATTACGCAAGAAGTGACCAATCACCTGTTCAAGAAGGTGGGCGCGCGCTTTGGCATGGACTTGGTCAGCTTCAACATGCAGCGCGGCCGAGAGTTTGGCCTGCCCGGCTACATGGAGTTTCGGAAGTTCTGCGGTCTACCGGCCGGAGACAGTTTCGACGACATGTTCGGCTCGATGCCGAATGAAACTGTCGTTAAATATGCCTCGATTTTTGAGTAAGTCCACGGAAAACCTAGGAAGAACTCCAAATAATCGTATTAAATGGGTTGCAGACATCCGGCAGACATCGATTTGTGGTCGGGCGGAGTTTGCGAGCGGCCGCTGCCTGGCAGCATGTTGGGCCCCACTTTCGCCTGCATCATAGCCACCCAGTTCAGCTACTCGCGTCAAGGAGACCGCTTTTGGTAAGCAAACGTCCCCCATACTATCCCCGATCCTATAAGCAACCCCGTGTTCCAGGTACGAACTGCCCAATCAGCCCTCATCTTTCACTTTGGAACAACTGGAGGAAATCCGCAAGGCCCGCCTAGCTCGAGTTATCTGTGACAATACCGATCTAATCGACACCATCCAGCTCTACCCGATGGTGCTGCCAGACCACGAAATGTACCACTTACCCCTCTACTCTCTCACCCTAACTAATGCAAACAACTGTTTCAGAAACCCGCGGGTTCCGTGTAAGAGCCAGGTGATTCCCAGCATGGACTTCTCGAAGTGGGCCGAGTACCCTCACCAGCAGTTCTTTGGGCCGCTAGGTAAATAAGCGGCACTGTTGCTATAGTTCAATTATTTATTCCAATCAATGTACATATCTAGAATAATAGCCTTAAGGTCCCAATTTTTGTACGTTTCCATGTAAATAAACCCTCTAAGTTAAAAAAAAAATGTGGGTTTATTGACGCTAACGGCAAATGTGATGTGCCCAAGGAGGCGGCCCCTCTGGATCAGTCCCTGATGGACTCGGGTACCGTGTGGATAATCACCTTGCGCTTGGGGTCGTACGAAAAGTGGTTGCTCTCGAAAATCTTGCTGCGGAAGAACGGCTTCAGGTCGTGAATCTCGATCTGTTTTGCCTGCAACCGGAGATTTAGTTTAGCATTTGCGCGTGCAAATCAGCTGGAACTGACCTTATCAAACAGGTCCTTTTCGTCGATCTCCACCGCCATCGCTTCAGATTCATTCGTGGCGCGTTGGAAGGTCAACTGATCGCGCACCAACTGGCGCAGAATGTAAAACAGCAGCTCACTGTGGTCCTTTTTGAAGGACAAGTACCGTTGAAAGGCCTGCTTCATTGACTTCATCACGCTGTACTTCTGGGTCTCCACGAAACTCTCCAGCATCATGCGGATGGCCATGTTGACGTCCTCTTCTTGTACGTACTCGCGCAAGTGGATGCGAGCGTGAGCCTCACTCATGCGGATGATGCTTTCGATGTGGCGCACCGTGATGGGAAGACTGCCAGTGGCCTAAAAGCAGACGTTGTATAACTAGGCCAGGCGAATTCTTTCAAATATGGTTCTAACGTGACGTGACTTAGATAACTATTGGAATCGCTCGGGAATGGTATTGAAACTACCATATATATGACCCATAAAAACATCGAGGTGCGCCAGCTTGAAAAAGCGAGGAAACTTCAGTCTCAGGGGAACCACATTCTGGTGACAAAAAATTGCGTGCGCAGCGGGAGTGCACGTATCGTGCAGGGGAACCCCCATTTGCTGGGATGAATAAGCCTGTACAGAGTCTACAGAGGCAGTCAATCCCGTTTTTTTCTCCAGATTACATTCTGAGGGATCGGATTGTTATTCTAAGACGCCCTTCAGAGTACTTTTGAGAGGAAATAATCCGGCTGATTCCAACTTTTGAAAGACAAAAGTAAAGTAGATCTTTGGCGTTTAATGTGCGCATATTTTTCTTATCTAGCCAGACGATTGGCTACAGAAAACTTATTAAGCGAGTGCCAGGTGGTTCCAGAATCTAAGGTGTTTTTTTCCGGAAGTGAAGTGTACCGGACTCAATTGCGGCTGAAGAAAACATTTAAATGGGGTGGCCTTAAAAAACCCCCTCGCAAAACAGTTTCTTACGTCTAAAATTTTGATTTATTTTCCTGACTGCGTGTAATTGTTATTATATTCTTTTCCTTCCTGGGTTGCAGTCAAAGTGTGAAATAAACATTTTTATATAGTTTATTTCATAACGTTTCGGCGAGACAACAGCGCCATGATCAGATTTAAAATTCACACAAACTCAAACACCAATTTACAATTAAAATATGTTGTATAAAAAGTATAATTTTTCAAGCGTTAAAACATTTATTACGATGGTTCAGTTCCATACAGCAACAATTCAAAAATCATTGTCTTTAGAAATTGAATGTCAAAGATTACAGGTTTTTTGAAATTGTAATAAACAACAGACTAAGTATGATTCATTTATTTGTTCTGAGATGGTTGTTAGCAGACCGTCTCATAACAATAATGTCACAAAAAGTACTTGTTTTAATAATTTTAACGAAGTTAGTAATTATTTTGTGACTTGTTGCCGTATGAAGCTAGTAATTAGGCGACTTGTTCACTTTGTTTCCTATGTTGAGGTGCCCGTCTTTTAAAACTTTTAACTTATAATTATACGCGGTAAATAGACTCGTCTGTTCACATTCATCCTGCAAACTATCTAATCTAAACTGGACACTTCTAATCGGAATCACTATAATCTGCTATAGCTATTGTCAACGTACAGGGTAGTCCTTATAAGACGTCCAGTATTGACTGGGAATTGCATCACTGTTACACAAAACCACCAATTTTTTTTTTGCTTGCGAAATTTTAATGGGTGCTTTATACACCTTTGTAGGTTTAATGTTGCTATCATGACCTCGTCTAGTTTTGTGGCGGACATCAATTTCACTAAATTCATTTTCTGAACATGACTTTTGGTAAAAAAATGTAAATGGTTTACTCTTGATTACTTTTACAGCACAAATTTCATTCCACTGCACATTTTGTGTTGTCCAGCGCAATTGTTTTGTGTTGTTGAGTAAAAGGTGAAGTATTTCCTCTTTGTGTGGTGTTTTAGAAATACATACAAACAGCTGCCAATCTCATTGGCCCTACGTTTGCCTAGGCCTTCATGCCATGTAAAACAGTACTCCTGGTTTTCAATAACATCATAGATGGTAAAGTTATAAGTAGCTACACGTGGTTTATAAAAAAAAAGCGCTGATGCCTCCACAAGGCACACAGAGAACATGATTTTTCATAACGTCACCGGTCTTGTGCTTTCCCCTCATATCTAACTGCAGAATATCACCTTCATCTCTTTTTCTTGGTTGCACTAAATATAAGTTTATTGCTTATGCCGAATATTCTCAGATAAAATGTCTTGTATACCCTATTTTTTTACCGTTTGATTCAAAGTGGTAAGCATAGTTTTTAGACTTGTTACTATTGGGTGTATACATTCTATATTTAGGATTGATTTGTTGCATACATTGCAAAAAATAGTCTCTCTGGTGGTTAATGTCTCCAATGCTCCAAAAGCTTTTATGAATTTCATCCCGCGCTTCTTCAGTAAAAAGATATCTGCATTGTAGCTTGCAATTCTCATTGCAAGGCGGTCCAACTTTACAGCAACAACTGCTTCTTTTCGGATATTAACATATTCAAATCCGTTATTTCTACTCTTCTTAGCGACCGACCTTTCCCATTTATCAGGATTTCGTAAGTGTTTTCTAGTCAAATTAGTATCAGATTCATTGTCTTGGTTATTAACATCTCTCTCAAGAATCGCTCTCAAAAGAGTAGGTAGAAAAGTTGCCAGGCGAACAATTGGAATCGATGTCAATAGAATGCTTACTGTAAGTATCTGAAGGAGGTGCATTCTGTTGAGATAAATTCTGATCTTGTGCCTGTACATTTCCCAGAGTAGCTTCAATGGTATTTGCCATAATGGTATTTATCTCCTCAGCAAACTCATTTGCAATATTATTTCCAACTTGGACGATGTTCTCGGTATCCACATTTAAGAACTCTAGTTGTCCCTTCAAATTATCTGACAAAGAAGTATCAACAACTTGATCATGGTTGTTAATAATGTGGTCTTCTGATTCTATGTGTGAAAGATTATCTGCAATAATAATATAATTGGTTTGGTTAGTGGCATCTGTTAATTCTATCAAGTCGTTATTGTTATTGACGAGATACTCTTTAACGATAATGTTTTCCTCTATATTGTTTTCTGTATCTACCCTCTAAGTCAGCTGTATATTCTTGCTCCACATTTCTTTTTATTATAGTATAGGTTCCATCTTTTGCATATTCATTTATGACAGTAATAATTTTTTTCTCTGCATCGATATGAGGTGTTTTTGCTTTCAAATGGAATTTCGTTATTTTATTATTTATTTGAAAAAACATTAATTTAAACTAAGGGCTCCGTTGCCTACTTTGTAAAAAACTGCCTCTTTTCTTGCAAAACGCAACATATATTGGGCTCTTATTTAGCCACAACGTTGTATGCGAATAAATTCATCAAGTTTGCTATTAAATAACTATTTATAACAAGCGAAAAGCACAAACACCAAACCCACGATTCTCTCAAAAAATAATGACAAGCTATTAATCTGAAAATTTGCTGCGAATAACATCAGATATTTTGAGATTTGTTCAGTTCCATAAGGCAATAACTCAAAATATTGATCTATGGAACTGACCTAATTATCCAATAAATTTAAATCAAAGAGCATCATGTCTAATTGTAGCTATGTTAAACTAGAATAATTATAAATTCGGCTTAACGCTAAAAGGGAAGATCTCATTTAAAGTTGACAAGTCCAAACATTTCCAGTTCTTGCTGTATGCAAAAGAGTAACTACTTAATTTTGTGCATATTGCCGTATTAAACTAAAAATGGCCAAGTTTGGAGTTGTTGCTGTATGGAACTGGACCATCAATTAGTTCTTGAGGAAAAAACCTTTTTTTTTGGGAGAGCAAAATTATGCGGTAAGTTTTCCAAATGTAAAAACTAAAAACCCCCGGTTTTTAAAACAATTCTAAAGTCTTCAGAGGGATGGGGGTGATGAGTTTCCCAAATAATTTATTATAAACTTTCTGTTATATTCTGTATTTCTTTATTCTGTTGATTTTTGTCCTAAATTTGAAGCTGGAAAAGGATTTCAATACTTTTTATGAAACGACGAAAGAGGCGAGTGTTATAATAATTTTCGCAGAAAATATTAGTAGATTGTCAGTATTTTTACCTAAAACATTAGAAAATTGAGCGATTAGAAGAAACAGTAACTTTGTTACACCTGGAAAATTCTGAAATTTTGAAAAAACTCAAAATACTGTTAATAAATGGCCCTTAAAATAATTCGAAAAACAACTTGCCAGTAACGGAACTAAGTTACTGCGCCGGTGCGTTGGGTTGGTGCATCAAGCCATTTGCGCAGCACTGCGCCAACTCCAAAAAATTCACTGAGTTACCCAGGCCTGGTATACCATTCCCGAGCAATTCCAATAGTAACGTTGTTACAAGTTACGTCACGTTAGAGCATGCCAATCTGTAACTCTCCTGGGCAAACTGCAGGTGAATTTAGCGGCGTTGCATTTGCTGCAGAAACGTCACGACAACTGCAAACCTCAATCAACGACGGGTATATAAATGAGTACGGGAGCGTACGCATGTTTACATGCCCAAACTGCAGAGCCTATAAATCCAGCTTAAAGGTTTAGAACGTAGGAACACTCACCAAAGACTCCTGCCGCAACTGGGTGTAGATGTTAGCCACCTTATCCCTGTCCATATTCTGCAGCTTGGGATGGATGTTTTCGCGGGCATAGACAATGTACTTTTTGAGCATCTCCTGCGGAATTTGCATCTCGTTCTCCACCGCATCATCGTCCTTGTGGTCCTTGTTGGAAGGGTGGTGGCGAATGTGTGAATCCACCACAAACCTGGCCAAATGTTCGTCCTGGATCGGGTCGATTTCGTCCTTAACCACGCACAGGATATCGAACCGGGATAGGATCGGGTCTGATAGGTTCACATTTTCCGTAAAAGTCATGCTGGCATCGTAGCGGCCGCCTATAGGATTGGCTGCCGCTATCACCGAGCATCTGGCCTGTAAACTAGTGACAATACCGGCCTTTGATATGGAAATTGACTGCTGTTCCATTGCCTCGTGGATGGAAGTCCGGTCCTGATCGTTCATCTATAAACAATAACAATCGTTTCTTGAGTAAACTTTCACTTTTCCGGTAATGCGGACCTTGTCAAATTCGTCGATCAAACAGACTCCTTGGTCAGCCAGCACCAAAGCACCAGCCTCCAAGGTCCATTCTCGAGTAGTGGGGTTGCGGCGCACATAAGCAGTGAGCCCCACGGCACTGGCGCCTTGACCAGTGGTAAAAACCGCTCGGGGGGCGATTTTCTCCACGAATTTCAGAAACTGGGACTTGGCGGTTCCCGGGTCACCACATATCAGCACGTTGATGTCGCCACGAACTTTATGCTTTTGTCCTATAAACCCCCAAAAGTTCATCAAACAGTAAAAATAACATAGTTTCAGTTTTACCAGGGTTCTTGGCTTCGCCCCCAAATAGGCTAAGGGTCAGACCCCGCTTAATGTAATCGTGCCCATAGATGGAAGGCGCAATGGAGGCGATGATCCGATCAGCAATCCTATGGTCTTTGCTCATCTTGATAATGGCGCTGATGTCATCATCAGTTAACGACTGGACGATTTGCTTGCAATCCTTAACCACCAGGTGATTGGCTCGTATCACTGTCGAAAACACCGGAAAGCCGTGATCTACGTTAAGGCTGCCGTCGTAGCTGCAGGTGTAGATTCCGGTCACATCCACTTCATCTCCAGGCTTGCAGCGATCGCACAAATCGGCCAACAAGATGCAATCTTTGGAGCGAGGCACCCGTCCAGCGGGAATCCGACCTGGCGACTCCTGAAGAGTGATCTTCTGGTAGTTCCTGTACAGCGTCTCCTCCATGTTGATCTGCAATTGACTCATTAGACTCGTACAAGCGGCAAACTGGAAAACATACAGAAAAGGGGCCACCGCGTTGACACTCTGGGCATGAGGTGGGGTTCACTTCGACGTCCTGTGTTTGAATAAAAGGCCCCAAAACGAAGCCGCACTTAGTGCAGTCGAACTTGATTACTGAGAGCTGCGGCAGGACTCCAGTTGTAGCTGTGACGACACCCAAGGATCTCACCAGTTGATTTACGTGCAATTTTCTAAAAATATGCTGAAAATTGAGCATTGACCGATCACCCAGAGCCGGATAGTGACCTGAAAGTGCGCAGCTCCTCAATGAGGGGCAGCTCCGATATCCGGATGTGGATCTCATTGGTCACCCGGTCGTAACTGGGGTACATGGACAGGACGATGTCTTTGGCGACTTCGTCGAAAATCTCTAACATCTGTAGTGGGGCCTCCGGCAAGAAATAAGCCAGCACGTGCTCCTTGTTGGCCAGATTGGGAAATTCCACTATTAGGCTGGACTGAAACAGCCAAATCCCCATCAGCCACAACGCCTACACCACAAAAAGAACTCCATACCTGATTATTTTCGCACATTCTCCGGATTTTCTCCTTGTAGACGTACTGACCCCTGCTGTTCACGTAGGTCCTTATAAAGTTTTTAAAGCGATTGGATATCTCAGTGCGGGGCCCCATCATCACCACCCATTCCTTAATCGTGTAACCTTTGGTGTCTTCCAGGTTCTCAATCGACTCTATCATGTCCTAACACCGAGCATAAGTAGCTGGAATCCAGTTCAAACAACCAATAATGTACCTGATCATCCATTTCGCCAGTGGCGGCCTTTTCAGCTCGGCGCCGTTTGTTTCTGGGGTCCTCATCATCTTCCCGATCGTAAAACAGCTCCCGATCGTCTCTCCGGAGGATTCCTAGCTCCCGATCTCTTTGCCTCAGCTCAGCCTCAGCAGCCAGACGATCCTCAATGGTCATGGCATCGTAATCTTCATTGTCGAGGTTGCGCTGGTCGTATTGATCCAAATGGGGCATCGCCCGGTAGTCGCTGAGAAATAACACGGTTGTACAACACTAACGACAAAGGATGAGTTTTGGTACTTTTCCATGTTGTCCCCAAAGAGCTCTTCACCTTCCTCCTCCTCCATGGCATCGCCTATGTCGCCCAATAGGGCTTCGCCCTCAAATTCGTCCAGATCCTGAGCCGGGGACGACATGTTGGATCGGGGGGTTGGGGCTCGGGGCTCATCAGCAGGCTACACATTGAAAATGTTCTTTAGACTGTCGCTTATTGCTTAATTCAACTTCTACTTACAGTTCCAGGCATTTTTATAGCGCAATTATAAACAACTAAAGGCGGCAAATTTGGACGCCCAAGTTAACCCAGTTCTTTGACAACTTGAAGTAAGGCAGAAAGCAGGTGAAAAATTCAATGTTTGGCAATGGCGCCAAATGGTTGGGTTCTATTTAATTAATTTTTACGCGTTTCCTTAACTACCTTTGCTTGTTTTCTAGAAGCAGCGTGTGTTGCAATGGGCACAACTAATTTTCCCAATTTAAAACGTTTTTTCAATGCTAAACGAACCGTTTTCAGAGCAAAGTTCCGCTGTCCCTAACCTCAAACAACTCCACTGTTTATGCCATACATAAAGACACGTTTATACATTGTTTATATACATATTGAGCCCCCTATATTCATCTATGATTGAGCCTGACCTAAAATGGAACCTCCCGCCGATGAAACTTTGCTTTTTTTAGACTTCAAAAACCCGCTGCCTGCCAGTTTGCTCCAAAGCAAAGTGTTCCTACGGCTGGTCGACTTGGAGGGGCCCAGGCCTTTGGTGCAAGTGAACGACCAGATATTCCAAGGTTAGTACTCGATTTGCTGTTCCCTGCGGCAGCTATAAATTCCCGTTTTAGGTAGTTATGAGCACAGCATCGGCACTAATATGTTCTTCAGCAAAACGTCCAACAAAGGACCGGCGGAATTTCCATTTTTCGATCCGGTGCCTTTCAAGCTTGAACCCGCCGGGTTGCAGTCCAAAGTGCTGGCTTGCAGTCAAATGCTGATTCCCTCCACGGGCAGCCAACAGCTGCCCAGCACTACAGAGGATGTGAAGTTCAACCTCAACTGGGATTATAAGGAGCTGTTGCAGAAATTTGCAGCTGGAAAGTTGGACTTGCAGGATATCATTGCTAAGGAGGTGTATTATTGAATCAGCTTAAGGTTGTAAGTGCTTTACTTGGGGGGTTTTCAGGGAGATGAGCATGAGGAGGTTGCACTGGAGATCCCAGTCGCGCCGCCTCACGAACAGGAATCAAATAATGTCACCCAACAACAACAACAAGAGAGTCAGTCCCAAGACATCAGCGACCTTCTGGACCTTTCATTGTCGGATGAACTGCAGGAAATGTACGACCGGCTTCTGAATTTGGCCCGGACTCCCGTTAGGCACATGGTTGAGCCAGAGGAGGCCGGCTGCGTGTCGCAATACCAGCAGGAGAGCGATTATAAAACAATTGAAGCTAAGGTGTAACATTATTTGGACTACTTTTACTAGTTATTAGTTGCTGGAACTTGTCCAATCCATTTGAGCGAGTTTTAGGTGCTATGCAGGCCCTTGTTTGCGTACTTAAAACCCCCGAAGCACCAGGGAGACCTGGATGATGTTGATGTCGAAAAGTGCACAGCGCTTGGGTTTTTACCCGAGCACAAAAACAGAGTGATGACGGTGGAGAACTTCGAAAACCTCGATTTACCTGCCAGATACTCCGTTCTCCTGACTCATGCTGAAGAATTAGAGCGGACGATCGCCGGTAATTCCCCTGAGCAAAACCTTGCGACGGACGAGTTTGGCAGGACGCCTTCGGACACGCTCAGTATCTTTAAAAGGCTGCTGGCTGCTTTACAAAAGCGCATCCATGGTATCAAACAAGCAAATTAGTCGCCAGACGGTTGCGACTTGTCCATAAATTTATTGTATAATTAAAAAATGAATAAATTAAACACTGGCTGATTCACTAATGCTATGCGGACCCGGATTCCTCCAGAATATCGTCTGGCGGAAACGCCCCCAAGTCGGGAGTGGTCAGTTTGGCAGTCTTCACATAATTTGATTTGAGCAGTTCTTTGGCAGTCTTTCTTCTAGCTGGGTCGTAAGTGAGCAGGCTCTGTAAACGTAAAACTCTCCATAAAATCGTCGCTGTTATAACCACTAGACTGAGGCACCTTCAGCAGGTGCTCCTCTTCCGCACTATGAAAACGTATGATTTGCTGGAAATTCTGACGCTTCCACTGTGGAAATGCCGCCTTGAAGTCCGGGAGAAGCGTGACGCCTTGCCAGCAGGCCTCTGACGGCGTTCCCATGACTTTGAAGATTTTATACAATTGGTCAATCTCGGAGTCGCCAGGAAAAAGAGCCTTTTTCATCAGCTGAAAGATTGTCATTTAGATGAGTGGCTTTCAAAGATAAATCAAGTCTGACCATTTCTGCCATCACACAACCCAAACTCCACATGTCCACTCCAGTGCAGTACATTTTCTCTCCCAAGAGGAGCTCGGGGGCTCGGTACCACATAGTGATCACCTCGTGAGTGTAGGTTTTGGTAGGCAGGGAGAACGAGCGGGAGAGTCCAAAATCGGCCAACTTAATGTGACCCTCCTTGTCGACCAGCAGGTTTTGGGGCTTCAGATCTCTATGTAGAATCCGATGGGAATGTAGATAAGCCATGGCGTCCAGCAGCTGCTTCATGTAGCTCTAAAAATAATAAATTTAAAGTTGCAGCTACACCTGGTTATTGCTTATTATCACCTTCACCAACTCCTGCCCCAGAGCCACTTTGCTGAAGTCCATGTACTTCTTCAAGTCAAGGTCCAGATACTCAAATACCAAGTAGAGCTTGTCGGTGGTATACATCACGTCCAGGAGTTCTACTATTGAGGAATGCCTCACCCCTTTGAGGAGGGTGATTTCACGCATTGCAGTAGACGGCACTCCTTCCGAGCATCCCTTGTTATAGAACCTGCAAGGACGGTTGTTTGTACCAAAGCTCACTACTGGTAAGCGCCAGCACTTACTTCTGTAGCTTGATTTTCTTCAGAGCCACCTTCTTGCCAGTGAGTTTATTTTTTGCCTTGTACACCACGCCGTAGGTGCCCTCACCTGCCTTGCCGAGCTTGAGGAACCTGTCCAGCTTGTTATCATTGTCCATCATTCCCACTTTAGTTCACGAGCATTATCCAACGGCACTCTTGTTTAAGCGGGAAAGTTCCCGATATCCTGCCATGTTGTTGTTGTGCCCCTGTCGCTGTCACGTAATTCTTTTAGCTGCCGCAAGAGGCATTGTTGCCGTTCTGATCTGTTGTCTGTCTGACACACAAATGTATTCTAATTATTATTCTTAGGCAAAATTGCTCCTGAACTCTCCTTGTTTCACCAGGGTAAAGTTAAGCAATGGCCATTTCGCCAGGCATTCACCCGGTGAGTATTCCTGCGACGGTTACCTGACTGCCCTGAATGGCCATGAGTGGGGTTATGTTTCTACGATGATTGCCCCCTAATTTTCCCCAACTTCGACCTTTCGAGGTCAGATAAGCCCAAGATATGCACGCTCCTCTCGTAATTGCTGATTTAGCATTAATTCAGTATCGTTAGCGTTGTGTAACTGGCTGCAGCAAGTTGTCGAGATGAGCAAAGAAGAGCCCTCAACCAGTCAGGTAGAGCTTTGTTTGATATCGATGGCCTTGGGCCTGAGCGGAATTACTTACCATACAATCACCCATAACATTGCAAATTAATTGCACTAATTAATTTACTTGAAATTGCTTACTCATCGCCTTGACCAGGGCACCTTGTAAAGTAAATGCCATTTACTAGAAGTGTTGAAGTTGGGGGGCTCATTCTGTGGCCATTCAACTTGCAGCCGTGTTCTAAGCCCCCACGTATACAGATTCAATTGGGGCTTCAATGATTTGTTGCTTTTCAGATGCTGCCCCTGGCTTTGGGCGTGGGAATTGTAGTCGCCTCTTTCGTTATCTACAAGCTGTATTTCTCCAGGCCGAATTCATCCAAAGGTAAATGGGTTTCAACTAGATATAAGCTAAAGCGTGATTTTAAAATCACTCCTATAATGTGATTTTTTGAAAACTGTGAATGTGATTTCACTTGTGGCTGCCGTTTTCGTGATATAGCAGCGTCATAGGGAATTGTGCATCACTTGCAGAAACAATTTTAACATATTTGTAATTCATATTTTTTTAAATTAATAACCTTATTTAGGTATACAAAGTACAAATGATTTTAAGGACACTAAAAAATAACAGCCTCTGCAACTAGCAACTGGCTACACATTTTGTAAACCCATGTACTCTAAGAGCCTTTTCACACGGGCCACTCTGCAGCGCTTCTCAGTGGCGCTGCTGATAGGCGCACATAAACATTGTACCAACCACTCTGCAGCGCTTCTCGGTGGCACTGCTGAGAAGCGCACGTTAACCTGAAGCAGACTGAAGTGGTTCGTGTGAACTCCAGCATTTGAACTAATGTATCGTTATCAGTGGCGCTTCTTTTTCAAGCGCTTCTCGGCGGTAGTCAACCACTGAACGCCACAGAAACGCTGCTAAATCGTTTTGAAGCGTTTTGAAGATACATTGATTTAAATGGAGTTATTCACACGGGCGCGTCCACTGATTTAGCAGCGCTTTTGTGGCGTTCAGTGGTTGACTACCGCCGAAAAGCGCTTGAAAAAGAAGCGCCACTGATAGCGATATACATTGGTTCAAATGCTGTCGTTCACACGAGCCACTTCAGTCTGCTTCAGGTTAACGTGCGCTTCTCAGCAGCGCCACCGAGAAGCGCTGCAGAGCGGCCCGTGTGCGAAGGCTCTAAAATTCACAAAAACATTCTGGAAAAAAAATTTAATAGGAACATAAAAAAACACTATTTGAGTGAAAATAGGTACACAAATATTACTTCGCTCTCTTCTCGAAAAAAGACTCTTCTTGAAAATGTTCAGAATTTATTGATATTATCGGATGTTGCATCCCATTAGGCCTGGGCACCGTGACTATATACAAACAGTGGCGACAATGGTTAGTCCACTTTTCTATTGGTTAGGGACTCCAAGTGACTAATCGCCATTTTGAGGCGAACGTTATTTTATTTACTATTCTATTAGGCATGTTTAACTAGAATTATGTCGCCCTTACTGACCCTGACTCACTTCTATAGGATATCATATTTGTTGATGGTTCAGACTAAATGAGTTATGATAATCCTGCCATTAAGTGCCGACCTTTGGACACTTTTATATTTCTGTTGGCAGAATGAATTAATCACACTGAACAGTTGATCTAGTGTGTCAGCAATAAAATAATTATTGCTAGTACGTAACAAAATATTATTGGTCTGTAAGCTGGTGTATTTTCCAGTTATTAAGTCTGAATTTTTGCTACTTTTAAGGGCCGACCCTTAGACAATATCAAACAGAATGTCTCAACAGATTAAACCAGAGTATTTAACAACAGCGTGGTTTATTGAAGCCTGTGAGGAGTGGTTTTATTTAATGACTTCAAGATCTCCTGGCAATGCGTTAAGCAAACTAAACAATGAAAAATCTTTAAAAACTATTGAATTGCTCACTAATTTTATGGAAATTATTAATCAGTTGGAAATTGGCATTAAGAAATTATGAAAGCCTTGTCAAAACTGAACTTTAATTTCTAAAAAATCGATTTTAGGCATACAAAACTTTTGTTGGAGGAAAATGGCTATAAATTTGTTTAGCACTGGAAGATTGTTTTGAATAATCTTATTAGTGTTCTGCGGAGTAAGCAAGTACAGTTGAGTCCGGATATAACGAACTTGAAAAATGAACTAAAACTGGTTCGTTATATCCGGAGTTCGCTATAAGCGAATAATAATACAAAAACA